GGCTGATGATGGGTCTGATGATCTCTGCCTCCGGCATCTCTCTAATCAACCTTTCTATTTCATCCTTCTAGAACCGAGGGTAGCGATAAGGTTGTACACTGATGGGCGACACTCCCTCCTTCAACATAATGGCATGCTCCTGCTCTCTCTGCGGTGGTAATCCTTGAGGTGACTGAAAAACCTCTCTGAACTGCTGAATCAACGGCTGAATGGAGAGGGGTATGTCTCCTCCTCTTCCAATCTCGCTCCTTCCAAACCGTGCAACTCCACCAAATACCCTCCATCCTCCAACTGAATGTCACTCACCATCGTTTTAAGAGAAATCAGAGATTTTGAAAGCCTCACATCTCTCTTAATCACCACTTTCCTTCCATCCACCATCAACTCCATCGTGAGTGCTCCCCAATTCACTTTGGTGTCTCCCAAAGTTTGCAGCCATTTCATTCCCAGGATGACGTTGGTACTCCCAAGCTCTATTGGAAGAAAATCTTCCTTCACCTGTATCCCCTAGATTATCAGTCACACTCTTCTACAAATTCCCTGACCTTTTTCCACCTTCCCCGTACACTTCATCACCCCGTAACGGCTGGTATCCATCAATCTCACTCCAAATTGGTCGACGACCTGGGTGTAAATGAAATTGTGAGTAGCCCCACTATCAATTAGCACCACCACCTCCCTGTCCTCTATCTATCCCATCACCTTCATGGTGTGATTCGTAGTGAATCCAACCACTGAGTTCAGTGAAACCTCAGCCATATCCAAGTGTAGCTTCTCCTCCATCTCCTCCTCTGCCTCCTCCTCGCCTCCCTCCTCAGTTTCCTCGTCATCACAGACGATGAGAACCTGAAGAGTTCGGTCCTTGCATCGATGCCCCGGCGTGTACTTTTCATAGCACCTGAAGCACAACCCCTTAGCCCTCTTATCCTGCATCTCTTTCTCCGTCAGCTGCTTGAAATTTCCCCCGCTTCCTCCTCCTGTCTTCTCCTTGGTGGCCTCTCGACTCCGTCCCGTTGCAGGACCTTTAGGTTCTAGATGAGTGGTCGTCATCCTGTAAGTGCACCTAGTGCTGCTACTCCTGGCTCCCCTCTTCAAATTCCTCTAATTTTCCACCAGTTGGGCAAACTTCATGGCCTCCCTCAAGTCACGGGGCATCAAAACCTTCACTGTTGCTCGGATCCCTGCCTTCAGTCCTTTCATGAAATTTCCTCCAATACTGTATATGAGAGTCGCTCCACCTTGCTAGCTAGGTGCTCAAACTGCTCCCGGTAATATGCTAGTCTGCTACCGATCCCTCCTGTGTCAGATCAAAAATTGCTCATAGAAATCTCCTCCCCGATAGGTTTGGAAACGTTCTATTATGCAGTTTTTGAATTCCCTCCTGTTCTTGATAGGCCTCCTCTGATCTCTCCACTGATACCACGACAGGGCTTTTCCTTCCAAGCACAATCCGGCTGCGATCATCTTCGCCTTCATCAACCCATTGACGGCGAAGTATATTTCCACCTTCTAAATCCACCCATACGCATCTTCTCCTTTGAATATGGGCATCTTCAACTTCCTCACCTTCTGGTCGCCCCCATTTCCCCAGATTCTTCCATAGTTTCTCCTCTCCCAATTGCTAGGTGCACCCCATGTTTCCCGGTCTTCCCTTGCCCTGCCATAGCCCAAACCCGCTTCAAAATCTCTCATTTTTTCAAAATCAGCATCTCGGCGGCCATAGTATCCCTCATGGTGTTCCCCGTATCCACCTCCTCTTTCTTTCCTCTGGACAGGCTCCAGATGGGGTCTTCTTTCCTCTCCTTCCATGATTTTCACATCATCTTCCTCCCTACGAATTTTAGGATTCGTACTTTTTCCTTCCATTCTTTTCGCTACAGAAGCCGTCGTTTGCTTTTGAATTTCTAACATTTTTTTCATCATGTCTCGTAGATTGGCAACTTGCCCTTCCATGGAGGAAATCGTTTCCTCCATTGTCGTTTTGATTTGATTCATCTCTCCTTCAAGCCTTTCCTCCAGAGCATCCACTTTTTTGGCTGCCATCACAATCCAGAGTTTGTAGAAACAAAAAATCTCGATTTGGACTCCAAAAACAGCAATCTCCCTTCCTTTCGGGCAAAAAATCACCGCTGAAATTAGCCGAAAACAGCCCTCCACCAGTCCCACGACTTGCTTTGATACCAATTTGATAGGAAATACTTCAGTTCACAAGTAACCCTAAGGGAATACTTGAGTTTGCAAGCAAACATATCACTAATTGGAGAAAAAAACAGCGAGAATAGAGCAAAATCTGAGCGAAATTAGCCCCAAAGCGATAGATTGCAATAAACGAAACAAAGCAAAACCAACACGAAAGCAAGATACAAGTGATCTTCAATTCGAGAGGAGGATCGTCTCTCCCAAATCTCTAGACAAGAGAGTCTAGAGCCCAAACACCAAGAAACCCTAATTCTAAATCAATCAAAACATGAAACTCCCTAATTCCCTCATCCCCTTTAATACAAGATCTTTCCTAATTTAATTTCCCTCCCAAACCCTTGCCTCCCCACTTCGTTTGAATTTTTCAATCAATTGGATCTCCGCCTCCTATAGACCGGCGGCCCTCTTTGGGCCGGCTGGTTCTGGACCGGTTCATTGTGAACCGGTCTAACATATTTTCATAAAATTCTGTGATGGAAAGCTATTTTTTGTAACAAGAGTAGCTAAGTTACTTTCCCTATAGTAACTTCAAAACCAATTTTATAAAGTTTGCAGCTATCTCAGATAGATCCTAAGTCTAAACTTGCTTTGAAGATTTGATAAGAAAAATATTTGATCATGAGCAATGAATATGAATATTTATAAAATAATGATGTACATATGTAAAGTATCAAATTGTTTAATGAACTGTACGAGTCACTTGCTGATATGAAATTACTTGGTACACTTCTGTTTCTTCTTAATTTATAGTTATTTTTTATTAGAAATGTCATGTGATGCTTGTATAGGCTTTTAATTCATTTCTATCTTATGGATATCATGCTTTCTGCCAGCTATAATTACCATTGATCAAGTTTGGTCAACCCAACGTTACAATTATCAATGGTAACTTGCTTCAAAGTTGCCCATTCACATTCTAATTTTTAGAAACGAGTCGGGGATACTTTATAATTCTCCATTGAGGTTTATCTTGTTAGAACATTTCTCTCTCTGCTAGGTCGTGATAGTATACCAACCTATTCTCCATTACATGACCCTTCATAGGCTTTCTTTATTTTTAATATCATTACATAAATATTTATAATTACTTAACATTTTTTTGCATATGATAAAATTAACTTACAATATTATATTGCACTCAAGATATAACATAGCATATAAGAGTTTACATTTAAATAGTTAAATATGCACAATAATTTAATAGGGAATCAAAAGCCTTGTTAAATGAATGTAATATGAATTTAGATTGAATGATCATAAATGAGACGATGGAGAATTATAAAATATCCCCTACATTTATCATTACATGCTCAATATGATCTACAAACACACATAACAAGTCAATATACTCATGTAAATTTGTAAACATTAGACCTATGAATATCTTATTGAAATTATTGGGTTCTCCTCGGGACTGATCACCTTATACCTTGACATCCCTAAACTTTGGTCTTTTGTAAACAAGCTAAAAATAAGAAATTCCTCAATGTTACTATTAAATCATAGCAGTCCATTGGCATTTTGATCCACAGCTAGGATGGGAATTCATGAGAGCCTCACCTATAAAATCCCAGCCGTCCCTTGGCATTTTGATCCCACGGCTAGGATGGAAATCCGTAGGAGGCTCACCTGGATCACACCGATCTCCTTCGATATTTAGTTGGCTGATTTAGGAAGGATTATATTAGAGCAATTATGCATGATTTTGTAATTATTTGTTTCTTTATTAAAATATCTTGTATAAATTTATAAATATGAATAGTTTTGTGCAATAAAATTAAGCATTTTCTCTCTCTAATTCACTGAATTTAATGGTTACAATAATTTATTAAATAATAATATAAATCTATAAAAATATTCTCAAAATAATATTTTTACCTCAAAAAGATTTTTTTTCCTCAAAATAATATTTTTTATCTCAAAAAGGTTTTTCCTTATTCAAGCTTTAAAGCCTACAAATTTGGATTGCAGACTAATACGGTTTCTTTACCTAAAATCTTCCTTCCTCTTTTTCTCCTCCTATCCTTCTTCTCCTTTTTTTTTCTCTGTTTTTCCTTTTTTTTTTCTTTGTTTTTTTCCTTTACCTGAAGCCCTACCCGATTTTTTTTCGCAAAACCTGGAGTGGATGACCATGGGATTTACAGAAAATAGAAAAGGGGGAATGGAAATGAGTGTAGTGCTTTGGTTTAATAGATTATTACTTATTTTAAGCAATCACAATAAATTGCTACAGTGCATTACTTCATGCACTAGAGTTAATGAAAAAAACTTGGGAAAATGATTCGAGTAAGGATTTAATTGATAATTGCTAATATATTTATAAATTTTTATATACTTATATATACTAAAATGATCGAAATGAAATATTTATAAAAAATTAAAAATAGTTTTGATGATTTTAGGATCTGCAAAAATGAGGAATAATTTTATGAAAAATTTTAATATTGCATTTTTTTGGAAATTTTCAAGTATTACGCTACTGTTGATTTAGTTTATATTTAGCTCAAACTGACTTCTTGCTTTACATAAGGTTTGATACTGCTTTGTCTGAGTTTTTAAAAACTTTTGAAATCAGCTTATGATGCCTGCTCTGTGTTTTTTTAATATGAGTCCTCCCTTAGCAGCAACTCCTATTAAATCTTAACATCTGATGCACGTGCGGTTTTAGTATTATGTCGCTCAAACTTTGACCATGTGTTATTTTGTATATTTCTGAAAAGCCTACAAAATTTTCATCCTTATTTAAACTGATGGATGACTTTTTTTAATGAGTCCCAGTATAATTCTGATATGTTATATAGTTCTATTCAGCATCGTTCACGGAAGATCTTTGTGAAGTGGTTAAACATGTATCAAAATGTTATCCCAAGTGTAAGATATATGCTGTTGGCTGGTCTCTTGGAGCAAACATTCTTGTTCGGTACTTGGGTCAGGTACAAATATTCTACTTATTCTACTTCATCATAGTTTTGTATGTGAGCTTATACATTCAGATAAATTTTGTTTCCAATACTGCCAAAACTGAAGTTTGCATTTGAATCAAAATTATAGCTTATGCATATTGTCTGAAATTGTGCATTAATTGAGTAAGACTATTTTTACAAAAAGTTATATTTTCAGCATATGAAATAGGTAGTAGAAAATTTTCAAAATCTAATGAAAGTTAGAAAGCAAACTCATGTGAGGGAATGTGATATGATCTCATTTCTTTCTTAATGTTGAAGTTATACTCTAGGTTAAATCTAGTTGTCTTAAGATCTTCAATTATTTAAGAACGTTGTAGTAGTTGATAAATTTATTGATATATTCAATGAAATTTTTGTACCTTTTTTGATGCAATCATTTTATTAAGCAACCAATCATGATATAATAATTGCAGATATTTTTCAAGTTATTCTTTTATCACCTTGATTTATATCCAACATCCTTTGATTTGTTTATTTAGTAATTCAACTGATTGGTTTTGCATGTCTCTAGAATCTCATCCTTTTTTAAGATACGTTAAATGAACTTGATATTCAAACTTCCAATTGAACTGTTGACATAACCTTGAGCTCTGAGATCAAATATGATGTATGTGTTAGTGTTTTCTAATGCACATTTCTGATCAAATGCACAAAATCACATACACATTCAAATTCCTGATTCACAAACTTTTAATTTTGGTAGCTATTCAATTCCTTAAATTAAAACTAAAAATTTGAAAAATATCATATATATGATATTTAATAAATTTATATTATAAATATCACGTAATAATTTGGAAAGATAAAAATCATGCACAATCGATGACTATATTGTTCCAAATTTTGCTAAAACTCAATCATACATGTAAACCAAATATTATAAATAGAATATAAAAATAATAAAAGTAAGAGATTACAAATTAGTGGAGCCATATGTCATACCAATGCAAGTACATGATTTCTTCCAAATTTTCAATCTCCATCTGCACTAGGAGAAATGCCAAATAAATTGCACCTAATAAAAAAATTATTCTGAATCAAAGTAAATATCTGTTAGAATGTTCTTTTAGTTGTCTGAGAGCTCTATATTTATAATCATAAAATCTCACTGACTCTATAATAGAAAAATAAGAAATAATCCGGCATTCTTATCTAGATTCAAGAGAAAGGAAAACTCATAGGATCCGATGCTTAAGCTATTCTCATCCATATGGAATCTGCGACTGGTTCACCCAGGAATCTCAAGCAGCTAAAGCTAAACGGACAAAATAGATAGGACCAATCTAGTCCACTAATCTCATGCTTCACAGGCTTAGACCACCCTAATATATGGAGCTTCAAAGGCCATTGCCAAGTCAATAAACTGGAACAGGATAAACCTCAAGATAAGTTATTACTTTGACCACCTAAAAAACATTTACAGCCAAAACATCGTTGTAACTAGCATCCTTCACGCTAAACCAACAAACATTAAACATGTTTTCAAGGCAATAACCACCTCAACTCCGAACCATCAAACATTAAACTTGCTTCCAAGTTGAGAATAATAATGACTGCATATTCTATTGTTATATCTTCAAAATAAAAGTTATATTATTCAAAATTCATTTCAATCGAAGGAATATATAAAAGTTTGAATATTATTTTGATATTCTGAATGTTTTCCAAACAAAATCTTCAAGACGGGTGAAAAGAGATTACAATAATCTTAATGAGTTTTCATATTTTGGAGCTTGTCAAATTAACAAATGCATACCGGCTTCTTTGTTTTCTATCATATCTGAATGAATTAGATTTACTGAAATTTGTCCAAAATTTATCATAAAAATGATGAATAAGTATTATAACTATAAGTTTAAATATTCACGATAGTGAGAACCGCAAGTCATTTACATATATAATCATGCAACCTTACATTAGTCTTGTACAAGAGATCCTAAAATCATAATGTTAAATAAAAAAACTAATCTAGATACTTTTAACCATTAGTTAACTACGAGACCTTACATGTATAATGTTCTTGACTATTTTTAATAAAATCTTTAGTTTACTAAAGGGATAACACTATTAAAAAGGAATTAAACCAATGGGTAAAATTCTATGTGATTCTAAATTTAATTAATATCATAAAAACTAATTAAACTAGTTTAAAAATAAAATGTACTTGGCTGAAAGCATTAATAATCATGCACTTGCATAGAACCAATCTACTAAAGCATTAATTATCTATACCATACGCCAAAATAGTTTAGTACACTCTGGCCTTTACTTTCTATGCAAATAAAACTCAAAACCAAATTGAATGGCCTAATTATACCAGCTTCTTTGATGCTTTCAGAAGCTAACTCGAAGAATGTGGTTGGGGATAATGTTAGCCTCTCTGTGGAGATGGGGTCAAAGTTAACTGCGGATAGGTTTTTAGGCAGAGAGATAGAGCGGGGAGAGAGATTTGTAGGCTAATTATTGAAAACTAGGGGTGCTGTTACTGAAACGTAGAATTAATTTGAATTTTGAAAGCATCTATAAAAAGAATCCATGGGGTTTTAATTCTACATATATCCGGTCCTGCTAATGATGAATTCTTAGTAGCAGGTGTCTAGTAAAGTAAGTTGAATTCATATAATCTATGAAGACGTCATTGATGTCTGCCGGTAGCAATTCCATTTAATGAATTGTGGTAATGAAGTTTTTGTATCAGGACAACTTTTTAAAAAGATTTAAACACCCAATTTGCAGATATAAAGCCCAAACCATGCTCATAAACCCTTAAGTAGACATGAAAACTGTCATAAGATACTTCAAAGAACAGAAAACTGAAAACAATTAGGATATCATTAACTTAAGCTATTTTCAATTAAAAGTCAGTATGGAGGACGCTGCACTTGAGGAGTAATGCTTGTTCCACTTTCAAATACTTGCAACTATGAAAGAAAAAAAAAAAAAAAGTTGTGAGATTCATGTGTCAGTGTCATTGCCCCAGTTGAAAGTTGAAAGACCTAATTTGAGCCGTTGCACTTTTGAGATAAGAGCAATATTTTGAAGTTGATGCGTGTTGCAGCTGCTCCTGCTAATAGTCTATTGCATTTAATTAAATTTTCTCTGTTGCAGGAATCATATGGTTGTCCACTTGCTGGAGCTGTTTCTTTGTGTAATCCTTTCAATTTGCCAATTGCAGATGAGGATTTCCGCAAGGGCTTCAACAAGATTTACGATAATGCTCTTGCTAGATCTCTAAAAAAAATCTTCAAGAGGTAAAGTTTGATTTGCTTCTTTAGGCTGTAACTTGGATTATTTTCTGGAAAAATGTCCAACACCTTTTCTGGTATCGTTTCATCAGGCATGAACTTCTGTTTGTGGGTCTCCATGATGAATATAATATTCCAATGGCAGCTAATGCCAGAACCGTTAGGGAATTTGATGAAGGGTTGACACGAGGTAAGCAACATCTAATGTTGGGTTACATTACTTGAGGTTGTCATTCTAGTATTTTTTAAATTAAAACTGTAATGCCTGGCAGTTTCATTTGGCTTCAAGTCGGTGGATGATTATTATTTCAACTCCAGCAGTTCTAATTCCATTGTGCATGTTCAAACGCCATTGTTATGTATACAGGTAGTTTTCTAATTTTTCATATATTTATTGCAATCATCTATAATTTCTGACTGAAGATTCTTTCTGAAACATGCTTTGCAGTATTTAATAATATTTCATCATAATATTGCCGCTCTTTATGTATATTTGCTTCTAACCCTGTTTATTAAATTGCAGGCTGCTAATGATCCGATTGCTCCTTCCAGGGGTATTCCTCGTGAAAAAATCAAGGTGAATTTACAATCCATTTTGTTAATTTCAAGTTCCCTGTGGCAGCATTCATGCTAATCTACAGATTTTCAATTTTATTTTTGCTATACCGTGATGTCCAACTGGTATCCTCAATCTTAAATGGCTATTGAAATTCTTAGTTAATGATGAGAATGCATTATAACAAGCTAGATTTGCCTTTGGAAAAAGCCCAGCTGTGACATAAAGGTGCAAGAGGATATTATGCAGCATAAGATTTTGTTTAGATTATGCTGGAGCTTAACATCGCCGTGCATCATGTGTAAGCTTATGCTGTTTGGTGTCTATTTTATAGGCTACACATGTGCGTTCTAGATTATTGTCTTAAGAATTTTCTTGGAAATGTACAAACTTACAAATGGATGATTAGAAACCACAAGTGATAGAAAAGTCCCCCTCAAATTTAAAGGAAAATTCTATAAGATGGTGGTGAGATGTGCAATACTTTATAGTGCAGAATGTTGGCCATTAAAAGAGAAGCATAATATTAAGTTAAGTGTTACAGAGATTAGGATGCTTAGGTGGATGAATGACTTGATCAAGCTGAATTTGCATACAATTCTATAACCAACCGTTCTACCGGCCGCTCCTCTTTCAGTATTATTTACACCAAAGAGCCCAATCACATTCTTCATTTTGTTATTCTACCTAAATGTCAAAATGTTGTAGCTAATGAAGTGACTATTTACTACGAATCCATATTAAAAGACAAAGTTACTTGCATCCAATGAACAATACAAACAAGCTGCTGATATCCGTAGATGGAGGAAAGTATTTGAACCAGGTGACCTTGTCATGATTCGTCTTCGCAAAGAATGGTTATCATCCGGCATTTACTCCAAATTAAGCCCACGAAAATTGGGTCCAATGCCCATTCTCAAATGCATTAACAATAACGCTTATATTCTTGAACTACCTCCTCACATTCATACATCTGCCATTTTCAATGTTTCCGACATCCATGCATGCATGTTTTCCTCCAGATGAACTCACGGGTGCTAACATCACTGCGGGCATGAATTCCGTTGAAGATGGGGATATATGATGCGGTGCATCTTAAAGAGATGGAACTAACTTACCATCTCTAGTTGCTTTCTGTTTTATTTCCACTACTACTTAGTAACAACTTGTCCTTTTTCAGCTAAGATAGTAACATAGAACCTTTGGATGTATTAGGCAAATACTAATAAATAAATAAAAAGATAGCTGCAGCTCATATATGGGATTAATTATTATGTGTGGATATTGGATGCCATCCGGAGGTAAATTAAAGCACACCACATCACCTTATTGCTGTGTACCGCGGTTGTGTACCCGCTATGTACTGGGTGATGTGGCATGCTCTGATTTGCCTCCGAACACAAAGCTACTTCTGGTGTCTGCACAGAATAAGTTCTCTGAATGGAGGGAAGAAAACATAGAAGAAAATATATAATATGATACATTTTCCTTAGCATTGCTATATGTTTGATCTCTTCCCTGTTTTGGTTTCCCATGTTCTCTTAAGTGCAGGTTTTACACCAATAATATTATGGTAAATTTACGAAGAAAAAAAAAATCTCTTGTAAATTCCATTATGACTTTGAGCTACACCATGAAGTCACTGCATATGCTGCAAGACTTGGATCTACTTTGCTTTGTAAATCTGCATTGATCAATTTAATGCTTTGTGTACTGAATTCTGAGTAAAAACATGTGCAGGAAAACCCTAATTGCCTGCTAATAGTTACACCAAAAGGTGGACATCTTGGATGGGTTGCTGGTGAAGAAGCACCCTTTGGAGCTCCATGGACAGATTCAGTTGTTATGGAATTCTTAGAGCATCTCCACCATGAAAGACCTGCAACCAGCTCAAATTCTTCTTCTGAAATAGATGGTGTTCAACAGCCTTTATCATCCATTTCTGTCCAAACATAATTTCAAATTTAAGACGTTGCAGAATACAACAAGAAGAGCTTGAATTTATTTACAGGGCTGAACTGAAGCATTCTGTCCATTTTCTGTAGACCAGAATCTTCTTCGTTTTGTTCATTCCCTTCAATTTATATTGATAGCGATGAAGCCCCTAAATGAATGTGTTGTTATTGCAAAGGGGATGTAAATGATGATAAACTATATATATTTTGTATTTATGATAGGAATCTACAGTAATTATTGTTGTAAGACATTCATATTATTGGAATTTTTTTTTTATTATCTGTTTTTAATTTTTATTCATATTATTTGTTCATAGCAGTAGTATCAATAATTGCTTAGTAGTATAATAATGAGTGATTTTATTATTAAAAAATCAAATTGAATTGGATTATATATTAGTATTGCTCATATTCAATTAATATAAATGTGAAGCTTCCTGATTTAATTAGTATTTCTCTAATCAGTTTCTTTTGATGAAAATATTTGAAAGTTATATTTATATCTTTATATTATTATTTTTCTTGATTTATTTTTGACATATTAGGAGCAAGGGTGGATCCAACTTTACTTTTGAGGTTGGACATATTTATTATATAAAAATTTAAATACTAAAAATTATATATATAAAAGTTAAAATTGTAAGCAAAATTTTTTATTTCATTATAATTTATGCATTTAACAAATAATTAAAAATATATATATATATATAATTGCATCATATATGCATTCATTATATAATTTATATTATTTGAAAATGAGTCTACAAAAATTGCTATATGTTTTCTATCAATCGGTCTAAATTGATGGGCAAACAACACGAGATGTGTTATATAAGGATAAAAATTTATTTTTGAGGGGTGGGAGGATGGAATTACTAAATTACCCCTCTTTAATATTATTATTATTATTTTTTAAGGGTGGGTGGGCATTTGCCCATCTTGAATATAATGGGGATTCGCCTTTATGATTAGGAGATTCGAGAGCAGATGAAATCGAGAAGATTTTTTTTTTCGTCGATCAACTGGCCTGCAACCTGTTCTCAATTTTTTTTAATGAATTTTGATATATAACTTTTCATTATCCACTTAAATATTCTAAATTTTTAAATAATAAAAAAGTTGCAACAATTAAAAAAACATGAAAAGCTGCACATGCAAATAATTGGCCTTCAGAATTTTAAGGAGGAAAAGTTCTAATACATTATTGGCATAATAATTTTTTTTTCTATGGGGCAAATGTCTAATAATTTTTTTTGAAGGGGAACATGCAAATAATTTTTTATACATTATTACATTTGATAAGGTCCTAAGGAATAATAATTTCAATAGAGTAGAAATTCTTCCTTTCATAAATAGTTTGCCTTAAAATATTATGTTATTATTATTATTTTTTAAAGGCAACAAATCATCTCAATTTTAATATAAGAGAACTCTCCAAATATTATTCTTCCTTTCATTAATCTTTGCATGTTAATTAACACTTATTATAATAAACTGTTTAGTATTATAATAAATACTGAGTGTCGATATATAAAAAAAAATTCACTTGATGATACATATTAGAATTTGAATCTTTTAAGATTAAATTTTGCATTATCCGAACTTTGATGCTAGTAAATTTATAGTCGAGCTGAACAATTTGATGAGATGAATCCAATGATAGTAGATGTGGTTCAATCTAGCCCAAATAAGCATAGACCAACACTTGAAGTATAATGGAAAATTTCATGATATTAATTGAAGGACTAAATGATCTCCAAATCTTGCATATTTATAGTCAAAATGTACGTCTTTACTAGATGAATATAACTAGCCCAAGATTACTAATTCCGACATTGCCTACATATTGAAATATTCAAAAGATACCTTACGATCAAAGGGATCTCTTAGGACCATTAGATGTAATGTTTTGAATTTTAGTTATAGACCTCCTGTTCTCTACATGAAGAGGTTCTTGACTAGAGATGAGAGAGAGCTTGAAAGCATGAAAAATCTTGAAGCCCTACTTGGCTAATGTCAAACTGATCCTCATCCTTTGTTATTGGTCCATCGTCACTTGACTCATGCAAATGGGTCAACACCACATGAGTATTGCAAACAAACCATCATTGAGCCACCTAAGCCGAAGCACCATTGTCAAACCATAATTGTCTATCCCTTATCACCCAATCACAACCAATGGCTTGTCGCTACCAGATCTCCATTGTTGGACCATTCATCGCTAGACCTCTATTACAAGGTCACCGCCACTACACCACCACTATCAGGCCATAATTGTCTGACCACTATAGTTAGAACTTTACCATTGGAACTTTGCACTAGAACTACGTCGTTGAACCACTATCATCATACCTTCATTATCAAACTACTACTATCAAACCATTGCTACCTAACTACCATCATCAGGCTTCCAATATCAAACCACCACCGCTTAACTTTCATCATCGGACCACTACCGTTGGCAAGCCATTGTCATCAAGCCATCACAACTCAAACACTATCGTCAGACTGCTACTATTGTTAGATCACTACCGCCTAACCACTATAATCAAACTATCATCACGCCACCATCATCTAATAGCAATCATCCAAATGCCTCTCAAATCTCACAACCTCAGCAATAATTTTCAAGGCATAAAAAGTCAACCCAACAACTCATACAATTATTATCCCTCCAATTTGGCAAACAAGAACTTTTTTTAAACCAAATGCTTTCCAAGTGGAATCATTTCAACTTGGCCAAATTTTGTGCATCTTTTCTTTTTTGTATTTTTCATATCAAACCCTAAATATTTTTTTAATGAATATTCTAATAAGTAATAAATGTTAGTAATTTCCTCTAACATTAGAGAGAGATTATTTTGTGCGGACATCGGACGGTTCGGAGACCAAACATAATGCACCATGTCACTGAGTCACTCGGTACAGAACGATACCGAGCATCTGTACCGAGCAAAAAAATGACATGACACATTTTGATTAATTGGTCTCCGGACGCCAACCGATATTCGCACAGAATAATTTTTCCTAACACTAATGACTAACTTCCGACAATGGAGATTTATGACGAGGAACATGTTGTATGGTTTCAAGCAATACCTTTATTAATTAATCAGAGTAACATCAATAATCAAAATGCAAGTTTTTTAAAATAGTAATGTACCATTAATGATTTATAAATAATGTAACTAAGAAGATTCCATTCATAGAGTTATAGTGCTACATTTAGTTTATTAATTAGTAAATTGAAACTTCAGAATTTTCTTAAAAGTTGCTTTAACACCTTCATTAAATAATTAAGATGACCCTTAATTAGCCTACAAACTACATATATCTTGAGAAGAATCACATGCACCAACTTTTGTTTATCAATAGTTAATAAAATCTCACCTGTTTTAATTAATTAAACAAGTTTTAATTAGGAAAACCAAATCGAGATACACCAACGGAGAACTTGTTACGATTTTCTCTTGGGCGTCAAGGCAAGGAGAAATTATTCTGTGGGAGTCCATACTGGAAGAACCGACCGTACATGTGAGTGTACACTTGTACACAATGTGCATCAAATTTTTGTACACACTATTTATACATAATGTGTACACTCACAGTCTGGACGGTTTTCCTGTCTGGACTTCACATGAAATAATTTATTATTTTGAGGGCAGACAAAATAGGATTGTGAAGTGCATAATTTTATAAATGAAATAGATAAAATGAATTTTTTTCTTAGAATTTGGGCAATTGTATTTATTGAAGATGGGTAAAATAGTTAAAATGCTCATTATTCTAAGAAAAAAAAAATTTTAAGTGGGCAATTACCCATCATTTGCTCTTTCTAATTCTACCCCTAACTTACCGTTGCTTGTCCGGGTGGTGAAGAGCTGATGCGCAAAACCTAGGTCCCTAATTCGAATCCCTTGGCAAGCAGTGGAAGCCTTAAGTGTTGGCCCGTATAAATTGGTGTGAGTTGCATGCTAGGTCGACCGAAATTTTCACTGGCCTAAAAATAGTACTTCCTCGTAAAAAAAAAAAAAAAAATTCACCCCTGCCAGCAAATTACAAGAAGCTATAACACGTGAAGAAAAGAGAAAATTTCTCAAAACGAAAGGCCCCTAAAGACAATGAGTGGATGGCCTCAGAAATATAGAGTGCACATTCTCATAGGAGTAGAAATGAAGATTGAGCGACCCAAATTTAATAATTATTTTTCTTTTTTCTTTTGTTATTATTTATTATTTATTAAAATGGAAGCATAGCAAATAGCTTTTTATTTTTTCATTCATTTCATTATGAATTGAACTTTTATATGAAAATAAAATAAGTTGTGTTCCAA